TTGAGTTGGAGTCTCACTCTGTCACCCAGGCTGGAGTGCAGTGGCATGCTCATGGCCACCTCAGGGTTGACCTACTGAGCTCAGGCGATCCTTCTGCCTCAGCCTTCCAAGTAGCCGGAACTACAGGCATGTGTTATCACGCCTAGCTCATTTTTTGACTTATTGTAGAGATGAGGTCTCGCCGAGTTGCTGGGGCTGGTCTTGAACCCACGTGTTCAGACAATCCACTCGCCTCGGCCTCCCAAAGTGCTGGGATGACAGGCTGAGCCACCGAGCCCGGCCGAGTGTCTACTTTTAAACTTCATCTATGTGGAGTTCAAAACCAGGCACAGCAAGTTCATCTTTTCCCAGTGGGTACAGCAAAGGAAACGGAAGCACAGAGCTTGCCCAAGGTCAGTAGTGGAGCTGGGGCTGGAGTCCAGACAGCCTGGTTCTGAGCCTGTGCCCATAAGCTCCACCCACACTGTCTTCCAACGCAATGGGCTGTGGGGGTGGGACTGGGGCTGGGGTCACCACAAGAGCCCAGTGTTTAAGGAGGAGTAGGTAAAGTCTCAGGGTACAAAATTAACGTGCAAAAGACAGTCGCATCCTTATACATCAGCAACAGAGAACCAAATAAAAAGCACAATCCCGTTAACAATAGCCACAAAAAAAGAAAAGAAATACCCAGGCATGTTCCTAACCAGAGAAGTGAAAGACCTTTACAACGAAAGCTACAAAACACTGCTCAAAGACATCAAAGATGACACAAGCAAATGGAAAAATATTCCACGCTCATGGATTGGAAGAATCAACGTTGCTAGGATGTCCATCCTACCCAAGGCAACCTACAGATGTAACACAATGTCCAGTAAATTACCAGCATCTTTCTTCTCAGACCTGGAAATGATAATACAGAAATTCACATGGAAACATTCACGACCACGAATAGCCAAAACAATCCTCAGTCAAAGAAACAAAGCAGGAGGCAACACACTTCCAGACTTTAAACTTTATTAAAGACAACAAGAATTGAGATAGCCTGCTATTGGTACAAGAACAGGCATACAGACCAATGGAACAGGACAGAGATTCTGGAAGCAAAACCTCAATTTCTCAACCAACGCATCTTCAACAAAGCCTCCACGAACAACCACTGGGGAGAGGAGAACCTATTCAGTAAATGGTGCTGGGAATACTGGCTGACCACATGCAGAAGATTAAAAAAAGACCCCTACCTATCCCCCTGCACAAAAATCAACTTTAAATGGATCAAAGACCAAAACGTAAAATCTCAAACTACAAGAACTTTTAGAAAATGCAGGAGATACCCTAATGGAAATTGGAATTGGCAACCAGTTCCTGATCAAAACCCCAAATGGGGCCCATGCCATAAGAGAGAAAATAGACAAGTGGGACCTCACCAAACTGAAAAGCTTCTGCAAAACAGAAGAAATCATCAAGAGAGTGGGAAGACAGCCCACAGAACGGGAAAAAGTATTTGCCAACTGCCTATCTGACAAAGGCCTAACATCTAGGATCTACAAAGAACTCAAACGTGCCGAAAAGAAAAAAAAAGAAACAGCCCTATTAAAAACAGGGCAAAAGATATGAATAGATGCTTCTCAAAGGAGACATATGAGCAGCCACCAGAAACATGAAGAAAATGCTCGGCCTCACTAATCATCAATGAGATACCAATTAAAACCACACTGAGATACCATCTAACTTCAGTCAGGATGGCCATTATCCATAACTCAGAAGACAACAGATGCTGGAGAGGACGCAGGGAAAAGGGACGCTTCTACACTGTTTGTGGGAGTGTACACTAGTACAACCCTTGTGGAAAACAGTCTGGCGATCCCTAAAAGATCTAAAAATCGACCTTCCGTCCGGCCCAGCAATCCCCCTTCTGGAAATACACCCGGAGGAACTCAAATCATTCTACAACAAAGATACCTACGCACGCATGTTTATTGCAGCACCATTCACAACAGCAGAAACACGGAACCAGCCGTGCTGCCCAT